TATGATTGCTATGGACATTAGGGATCTCAATGAAGTGATTGCATTACTTGAGAGGCATCGTATCAGAAAGACGTCATATCATCAACTCGGCCCGCTACGTCTTCTATCTGATAGCACACTAAAGAGCATTGAACAGGAGCACAGAGGACAAGTTGATCGTTGTTTCACAGAGTGTTTGGCTAGCTGGTTGCGTAAAGCCTGATGGTGTGGAGATTCCAACAATAGATACACTGATAGCTGCTCTTAGAGGAATAGGAGAGAATGCTGTAGCTGATGGTATTAATGGCCCGAGAAAGACAAAGTGAATAAAGATTTTAATATAATTTGAATGTTAATTTATATGATGGTTGTTCCTATACTAGTCTTGGCTCGCCCCTTCATACCAACAAGTGAAGTATCAAATAGACCAATATTAGCTACACCTCCGACAATGCATACCAGTGAAGGTTTGATATTGATAGTATAATAATAAAAAACATTCATGAATATTTTAAAGCCAGATTTATAATAATTATGGCACTATAGGTATAGTGTCAATTTTAATTTAAAAGCATGGGCATTTTGGCCTTTTAATGTATACTTGTCAATGACATTAAAGTTCTTACCGGGTAATTTAACTCCAGTAACAATGTATTGTCAGGACTAGCCTAATATTGTATCAGTAAGCACATGTAACTGGACGAAGGCTATAGTCAGTATGATTTTACATGTGTATTACATGTACATACATGTATATATTCCTGATATTATATATCATTTTATTTGTTCATAGAGCATCCAATACAGCCAATCATTGTTAATCCAGGTAAGGTGAGATAACAAGAGAATAACTTACATGTACATGTATTGTTCTAGGTGTTCATGATCTTGGGCTCAAAGTTGATCAAGTTTCTAAGCTACGAGACATTGCTAATGAATTGCAGGATAAGTTTGATTATCTTGTTCTTGCAGTGAAAAAGTCACTTGAAAATAATTCCATTGATATAGAAGATGCAAAAATGTTGATACATGGATGCTTAAAGAGAAAAGCTCGTGTTGTGTCTCAGCTGCTGCCCTGTATTAATATTCTTAAGAAGGTTAATGATTTTAAAAGCTTTTTTGAGTTTCTAAGTGAATATGATTTTATTGGTTATCTCAATTACAAGCTATTGAAGAAATTATCTAAACTAGTTAAAGATGATAATGAGATTAACAGGTATTTTGTTGAATACGAAAAAGAATATGCCAAGTTATTGAGTGCAGCTGCCTTTCAAGAATTTATACCTTTCTTTGAAAAACAATCAGACCTGTCTCCTACTGCTCCTCTTGGCTTACCTTATGTTTCCTTTTGTGTTGAAAAACCTGATTCATTCACTAGTGCTCATGATTGCCTCTCAACCTTTGATGAATTCTCATGGTCACAAGATATTTTTTTAAAACAATTACAAAAGAAATGCATTATCATCACTTATGCCATACTACCATATGTTCTTGATGATGTCATGAGAGATCTCAAGGATCCAGTAATATTGAAAAAGCTAGAGGACAATGATATTAGAGTAGTTGAACTACCACAAGAAGAGGAAGGTAAGATGGTGTAGTATACAAAATTATTTACATTATATATTTTAATTTTTTTTACAGAAGATTTTGAGGGTAAGAAAGAAGGTATAATACTTTTACTACATCTATATTAGCTTTTATTAGTTTATATACAATTATTTTTTTATTTTTATATTTTCAGACCCACAGATTGAATCCACTGCCGCTAAAATAGAACCAGTACGTCAGTATAATAATTAATTTTCATTGATAAATTTTCTTTGAAAAGAAGGTTGATGCTTCTTCAATCATGCAGACCACATCATTGGAGGGAAAAATTTCCACCACAAGCACTACTACTTTGGTAGGTATAGCACATTTACAGCTACAGTAAATTATGCATACACATGTCTATCATACAATGTATAGTGGAAAATTTTTTTGCGAATCTATTAAAAAGTCAATTTTGTGGCCTTTAATTTTTGTAATTTTCTACTTTTCAGCCATCTTGAACCTTATTAAATCAATTTTTGTGGATTTTATTTTTATGAATAATAATATTTTGAAAAATTACGAAATCCATAAAATTATTTGCCATGGAAATTTTTTGCTATGCAGTAATGTTAAGGAATGTAATTTACATGTAGTTATTAAACTAGCCAATTTTGTGATAATTTGTGTCAACATTGTTGTCTTGTCTAGTTAAGCTGATTTTGTGAACTTGTTTTTGTGCTTCTTTTATTTGATGTTAATTCAGTAATAAGCTGTTAAGTTGTTTATTGGTTATCAGATTGTGCTAAGCAGTACTGTCTATACTGAGTTTGTACTACATTGCATGGCAAAATGTAGGTCATACAAAGAGACATAAATATAGTGTGAATATTTGTTGGCTCGTAATATTGGTGATTCCATGATTGCAATGCATGGGTAGTCTTTATTGTGTAAATGAGTAAATACCTTAATCTTAATTTTATAGACAAGTGAAGCTAAATTAATATACATGTACAACTATAATTATCTCTTTTTAAACAGAGGCCTGAAGCTACATCGATTAGGAAAGAAGTGAAAAGTTCCAGTCTGGTACGATGATAAATTGTATATTAGCTTCACATGTAATTACATATGTAGGGAAGAGATTTGATCGAGTCTATAGAGTCTCATACTAAACCTGAGGAGGTTATTGGTCTACTTGAAGCTGGAGCTGATCCTAATGTTACTAAGGTTTGTAGCTCAGTACATGTATTCTGTAGTATTCTAATTTATTGCAATAGTATACATCTGGTAATAACCCTGCTCTTATTAGAGCCATTGAAAAAGGTAATACTGATATTGTTGAATTGTTACTGGAGAAAGGAGCTAATCCCAATGCTACTGAGGTTTGTAGCTGTATATACTGTATTTTTTAATTTGTTACAAT